AAACCTCTAAAATTGACCTTTTTTCAAAAATTCAAAACTCCGTCAAATTTGAAGCTGGAAAAACAATCTTGCGGAAAATAACAGATAATAATATGAAGTTTTATCGTGCACAAGATGGTTTCTGTCCAATGCATAGTTTTGGCACCATTGCATTATAAACAAATTTGGGTACTTTCGATCGTTTCGGGCAACATCCCGAGAGATTGGAGATTTTGTCGTCTACTTTCAGATGCCGTTTTCAGAATTTAAATTGGACCATTTTTGATAAATCGCCACGCTGTGCAAAAAAAGACCCTAATTTGTTTATAATGCAATTGTGCAAAAACTATGCATCAGACAGAAACTATCTTACGCACGATTAAACTACATATCTGTCATTTTCTGCAAGCTTATTTTTCCAGCTTCAAATTTGATGGAGTTATGAATATTTGAAAAAAGGTCTATGTTAGAGGTTTTTTCGGAATTTCTCTGTAAAAAAATGAACCGATCGGGTCACAGAAAAAACCATTTTATAGGTTTTTTTATTCTCTACAAAAGTCCTATTAAAAGTAAGATGATTCCATCATTATTTTTCGATAATTATAAAAAAAAAACAAAAAATGTAAATTTTTTGCAGTTTTTATTATTTAAAAAATATTGTTCACGATTTTGTTGGGGAAATCACTTGGGTTTTAATTTACTAAGTATTTTTCGAAAGGTAATACATAAAATTTGCTGTGTAAAATTTTGAGTGTAAAAACTGCCTCTTTTTTCACTCTATTGGTTGGCCTAACATACAATTTTTTCAAGGTAATTTGTAGTCCCATAAATAGGAATTTTTGTGCTGAAAAAAATTCAAATTAAATTTGTGAAATAAAAGTTTAAAGTAAGGGATGTTCACTCTGGGATCTCAAAAATGGTTGCACGTATATGTACAATTTTTTTTTCTTGTAGTCAACAATTAGGCATTTTTTATTTCTCACAAAATAAAATTTTCTTGAAAGTTATATCTATTTAAATTTTAATTTGAAACTAAAACTAAAAAAAAAAAATAAAAATATTTTGAACACATAGGTGCAACTCTTTTTTGGAGCTACCAGGATGCCCACCCCTATTTTAATTTATTTTACAAATTTCATCAAAAATTTTTTCATGAAAATTCTCTTTATCCAAAAAATGGTGTCCCAAGTCACTGCTCAGAGAATCACCTGCAGAATTTTATGAGTGAAATATTGCAATACCTCCTACACATTTTTTAAACTCTGGTTATTCACTTAAAGAAAATCTCAGAAACAGTAGGTTTGGTTAAATTAAAACAAAGTTGCGTGACAATGAGTGCTCTTAAAAGATGCCTTTCTTTTGTAACTTTCTTAGGTCACTAAAAAAATTCCGAAAAACTCCAATTTTTCATTTTAAATAATTTCGTAATTACAAAATTTAAATTTTCGAGCATTACTTAAATTAACATCCTGCATTGAGTGGTTTTTTAATGTTCTAGATTTTTTATTGAAAATAATCAACTTCTTTATTGTGTATGTATATTTGTAGGTACCATTGATTTTATAAGCTAGTTACACCATCAGACACGTCAAAGTAAAAGCTGAAACTTGCCCACGAATTTTGACGCATTGCAATCGAAGTCCTTAGAGCCACCAAATTACTCTCCCTCCGCCACGTTTAGATCCGACGGCATTGACCATACTGCCCCCTGATCACCTAACTTCCAAAACTGTGGGCAACGTCAACAATTAGACAAACCCTGTTGTCCTGTATATCAAAAAATGTTCAGCCACATTTAAACAAAAATATCTTTTGCATAGTTGGCTATGTTAGGCAACAAAAATTCCAATAGAAAATGAAAACTGAAGACATCATTCAAATGCGCCTATTGTAAAGTAACTTTTTTGTAATTTATCCAATTTTGTACCTGACCGCACCAGAGATTTTATCATTTTTCTTTCTTAGATCTAGTAACACAAAAAATTGGTTAAAACAAAATTTTACACCAAATCGATTTCTTCTGGGTATTCATATTTTCCAATTTTACACCTCTATATTATTGCATTTTTGAATACATGTGAATGGTGAGCATTCTTAAGTAAATCACCCTGTATATGTATGATGATAATATCCACAAATGTGTTATTTCAAAAATTAATATTAAAAATATAAATTAATCAGCATCAGTAATCCTAAAATTTCAATCAACCACTAACAGACCTAATTTTTTTTTCTAACAAAAAATTTTGAAAGATATCGAATTGAAAAACAGATCGTTTGCAACTTAATTTTTTTTTGACGTGTAACAACTAGTTGAATTTTTTACTTTAAAAGGTCTTTTCATTGCACCCTATAAATAAAAGCAATAGTAAAAAATTTCAATATAAAACCTATAAATAACAACATATAGTCAGTCACAGCATTTTTTCTGTCAATTTACAGGGAAAAAATTATAATTTTTTACCTGTTTGTTCAGGCAATACAAGATTTCTCCTTTACCGTTTTTTTTTCATAGTTTCAAAATTGTAATTATTTATTTTGAGACCTCCGCCAAAAAATACAATTTTAACTGCTGCGATATTACAACAAAAATTTATTCTGTGATATTATTTCCATAAATATTTTCAAATTTTGATTTCTTAAATGTTTATGCGAGAGATCAAGTGCCTGAACATTTCGATTGACAGCTACCCCTAATTTATTCGGACCTCTAGCATTTTTGATCTAATCGGTTGTTAGTTAACATTAACGGTAATCGTTATGGTACATCAAATATGCTACAAGTTGTAAAACCGCTATTTTTAAATTACAAAATGTACAGTATTTATATGATATGAATTAACAATATATCTCATTATTTGTTCCCGTTAAAATTTATTACAATTTAATAACTTGCTAGACGACGGTATTAAATAATAAAAAATTCTAATAAATAAAATAAAAACTATTCTGTATAAAAATTACAACTAAATGAATTATTTTATTTACTGCCTAGGATAAATCTTTATATTGCACATTTTTTTTAAGTAGCTTCTTAGAAAAGGAAATGCAATACAAGTTTTGTGATATTAAAAGCAGATATTGTACTAGATATTTATTCACTACAGTACCCTAAAATCTATTGTAGGCGTCAAATGTAGTGTTTCTAAACACAGAGTTTAAGAAAAATATCACCGATGGCAGTACCTTTGTAATTTTATCCAATTCCTTCGTCTGTTTAGAAACCCCAAAAAAAAAATACTGATAGAAATTTAAAATATTCGCGATATTAAGTATTAACAATAAAATCTATATCACACGTTAAATACTCGTTTAACCCTACTTCACCGTGTTTGGGATTAAAAGTTTTTCAGACACATGTAACAGAAAAATGTTTGAAGTGACAATTCACCTCAATCAAAGATAAAGTATTAAATGTCCAACAGTGTGAAATTTAACAAGTAGAACATTCTAATTGTGGAAAATTTCTTCTAGTAAATGATCTAAATGCAAAAATTTAAAGATTCATCACAGTGTATGTAGTTTTATATCAAGAATTGGAAGCAGATTTTTGTTCCCTCGACTACGAAAATGGAGTAATGCCTCTAATAATTTCCATGTTAGGAGCAACAATTTTTATGCATTTATTTTCTCAAAAGAACAAAACTGGAATTGTTTTACTTCTTTCTGTGAATAACATTATCAAAGACAGACTTCCGCATTTTCGTTCTTTGTAGAACCAAATTGAAAATGGATGAAAACCGAAACTAAAATAATTAAAACATTAATCAATTAAAATGAAAACTAAACGATGATAACACATTACGATTACTCAACTGTATGCACGCCATTTAGGATATGGTATATTTGCTTGTATCTTGTTCTCTATTTGTGAATGTTACCAATGACTTTCCTTCTCATATTCTTTATTTGCCGTTAACGTTAGTAGTGAGTTCCATTTTCGTACATTTATTTTTTCAAAAGAACAAAATTGGAATTAAAATAAAAATAATTTTGTAACATTATTTCTGAGAACATACTGCGTGATTTAATATATGCTAAACATTGAACTTTTTATTACAGACCTAACTGCAATTATTGCTTTTTTGTGAGTAATGTCACTTTCGTTCTCAAAGACATACTTTGTAGTGATTTTTGCTTTAGGAGAAACGTTTTTTGTGTATTTTCTCAAAAGAAAAAAATTTTAAATTAAAAAATAAATAAATAAAAAATAGGGACAGAAATAATTAGAATCTTACAGAAAAATTAAAACAAAAACAAAATACATTATTTATCAAAACGAAAATAGGAACAAAAAGGAAATGAATTACTTTTGAAATATACAATTCAATTCATGCTCACTGTTTAATATATGGTAAGAAATGAACATCTTACATTTAATAATTGCAACTAGTTGTTTTTTAATTTTTGTGAATAATGTTAATCGGCAACTTTCGTTCTCTTTTTTGTTCTTTGGAATAACACCATTTAGCATATGGTAAGCACTTACCTTATTACAGACCTGTAATTGCGATTATTACTTTTTTTTAATAACATTACTAGTCATTTTCGTTCTCATCGACATAACTTTTCAGTAATTTTCGTTTTGAGAGAAACATTTTTTGCGTCTTTTCTCAAAAGAACAATTTTAAATGAAAAAATTAATGAATAAAAAAAGGAGCAGAATTAAAATGTTACAGAAAAATGAAAATGGAAACAAAAGATATAATTTATGAAAACCAAAAAAATAACAAAACATGCTTTCTTTTTAGTATACGGTAAGAAATGAACATCTAACATACAATAATTGCAACTAATTCTGTTTTGTTCGTTTTTGTGAATGTTAACCAGCAACTTTCGTTCTCATTGTTATTTTTTATTAACGACCTTTAACTGCAATTATTGCTTTTTTGTGAATAATGTTACTAGTGACTTTCATTCTCAAAGACATAACTTCAGAGTGATTTTCGTTTTAAGAGAAACTTTTTTGTCTCTTCTTAAAAGAACAAAATGTTAAATTAAAAAAAATGAATAAAAAATAGGAGCAGAATCAAAATGTTAGAAAAATTAAAATAAAAACAAGATATATTTTATAAGAACGAAAAAATAACAAAACATGCTCTCTTTTCAGTATATGGTAAGAAATAAACATCTTACATACAATAATTTCAACTTCTTTCGTTTTGTTCATTTTTGTGAATATTAACCAGCAACTTTCATTCTCATTTTTGTTTTTTATTAACCTTATTAAATACTTTTAAGTGATTATTGCTTTTTTGTGAATAATGTAACTAGTGACTTTCGTTCTCAGACATAGTGATGTGACTTCTAAGTGATTTTCGTTTAAGAAAAACGTTTTTTGTCTTTTAGCCAGTGACTCGTTCTCGTTTTCGTTCTTTGGAACAACACTTAGTTATTTCTATTACCTTTACAAATCTACAGAAGATTTAGATTTAAATTGGAACAAAAAATACGAACTAAAGTAATTAGAACGTAACTCAAAAAAAAAAAAAAATTGAAAAAAAATATTTATGTACGAAAAATAAGATCTAAATATACAATGCAATGACATTTGTTTGTTTCTGCGAATGCTACCAGCAACTTTCGTTCTCACTTTGGTTCTCCTTATTTCAAGAGAAACGTGCTCTATATTATTGGTTCTTGGTGAAGATAAAAATTGAATTTATACAATTTGACAAACTTGTTTGTAATTTATTATTGCATTGAATAACACTGCAAAATATAGTCATTTCAGAGCTACCTAATGGTATGTATTGTATATGTATAATAAACGAATGTTATCGAACAAATTCATTTGCCCCAAACTCTTACAAAAACTTGACATGGCAAGAAAAAAATATTGATTTAATTACAATACATCAGTGATAGTTTTAGAGAAAATCTCGTTCAATGAATTTGTTTCCGTCTCATTCTTTACCCTTTTTTAACCAGGATGCTCTGGTAAAAAGTGTAGAATAAAATTTCTTTATATCGTATTATCAAGAAATTAAAAACTTTTATATGCACGTTTCCCAGCAACAGAAATTTAAATTTATCTAAATAAAAACGAGAAGTACTGCACTTAAAAAACTGAATAATCAACAAAAAACTTTTAATCCCAAACAGATCCTACCTAATAGGAGGGCATAACGTTACCGTTTGCAGGCACAACAGCGGGATGGCTATTAGGCGGGTGCATGGGCAAGTGCGAGGTCTGCCCGATACTACTGCTAGAATTCTGCTGTTGCTGCTGCTGCTGCTGCGCCTGGCTCACTTGCACTTGTGGTATTTGAATGCTCCCCGAGTTGTTCTGCGAGTTCTGCTGCTGCTGTTGGGGATTACCCTGCTGCTGCTGGACCTGCACCTGATTCACTTGCGGGTTGGCGAGATCGTTCACTTCCGCAGGCGTATGTTTGCGCATGTGCCTCAGCATGTTGCCCTTTTCGACAAAAGTTTTGCCACAGTCCGGGCACGCATGAGGCCTGTCCCCGCTGTGCGACCTCCTGTGAGACACTAAATGTCCCTTGCACATGAAATCTTTCTCGCAGAGGTCGCAACGGAACGGCCTCTCGGCGGCGGCGCCCTTGTTGTGGGATCTCTGATGGAAGAGGAGGTTTCCCTTCAGAGGGAACGACTTTCCGCACTCGTTGCAGGCAAAGGGGCGTTCGCCAGTATGCGAACGCATGTGATTTATCAGGTGCTCCTTGCGGGTGAAGGGCTTGGAGCAGATATTGCAACAATGAGGCGTTTCACCAGTGTGCTGCCGTAAGTGGTTGGTTAAGTGTTCTTTGCGAGTGAACGTCTTTTGGCAGAATTCGCACCTATGAGGAGATTCACCTGAAAATACAAAATGTTAACAGATTTATGATGCTTTAAGCATTGTCCAAGATAAATCTATCTTGGAAGAGATATCAAAAATGGTCAAAGATAAACAAGAAACGAAATTAGGAAAAGGTACATCGTCAACAGACCATTGAAATAAAGTAAACAATTCTCAGATATATCTTTTAAGATATTTAACCCTTTCACTGCAGGACGTGGATTTGCATTCCGTGCTGCGTGTGAGGCATTGGGCAGCCTATGCCTGTTCGTCCGCTTTTCGCAGTTGAACCATAAAGATGTTACGCGGATGTGCTGTTGCAGAATGTCAATAAAAAATTATTTGGCTGCTAACGCGTCACACTGTGCACCTAGGACTGCTCAACAATAGAAAAGAAAAGCATTTAAAAAAAAAAGAATCTGTTCTATTCAAAATATATAAAACAAAATACATTCTTGACTCATACACATCATAATTTTCTTCATTATTTTCATTTTCATCCAAGTCAGAATGTTACTATCATCGCTGTTGATTAGAATGTTATACAGGGTGTTACGTAATTCACAGGCACGGACTGTGGGATCACGTTAAGCTAGATAAGGTCATAAAAAAATGTCTCTATTATTTTTCAATCAGACCAATATTTTCCGAGATACAGATACCGCAGTTTTAAATATCCAAAAATAATACAAATTTTCGATTTTTAATCATTTGATAAAAAATAATGACAGACGAATTGTTCAAAATTTTCACCACCCACTGCTAAACATACTTCAGCACATTGTGCTACTGCTCGAATGGAGTTGCATAGCATATCTGGCGTTATTTGTTGTATTGTTGGAAATAGCAATTAAAAAATATAACAATTGATGACAATTCAGAAAGCCTTATCAACACTTTGACATTTGTTAGAGTATAGTAAAAGTGTCTGTGGACCGATGAAAGTTTGTTTACACAAGATGGTATTTTTAAAATACACCCTTTTGGGGTAATGAAAATCCACATTTAACAAGATCCAGAAATCGCCAACGTCGCTTTAGTTTAAACGTATGGTGTGGATTATTAGGTGATAGAGTGTTAAGTAAGAATAATTTATTACTAAATCATTCCAAACACTTTTTAGTTCATCCACATTATGCCATACTGTTTAAACGCCATATTTCGATTTCCTACAGCAACAACTCTTGGAATTCATGGATGACACCCCTAAATGTGCGTCAAAATATGATTTTTATGTAGATGGCGTAGGTCCCCATTTCACATTAATTGTATGTGATTACCTAAATAATACTTTCCCTGGGGTTTGCTTGGGCGGGGGGGTTCCTTTTGTTGGCCACCACATGCTCCAGACCTAACGACATATGTTTTTTCTTTTGGGGATGCCTAAAAACCTTGGTGTACAGAATTCCAGTAACAAACTTCAATGAATTGCAGAACCGCCTATTTTAATCAATACAGCAAATAACACCAGAGATGATAAGCAACTCCATTCGAGCAGTAGCAGAACGTGCTGAAGCACGTTTATCAGCAAGACAGTGGAAATTTTTAAATTTATATATATTTTTTTATTATATTTGGATATTTGATACTGCTATATCTCGAAAAATATTGATTGAAAAATCACTTTTTTATCACCTTATTTAGCTTAATATGATCCCACAGTCTGTGTCCGCGAATTCCGTAACACCCTGTATAATGCAGTCACCTAATAAATCGTCAAAAAAAATAACACAACAAAATGAACGTGTAAATAAAAATAAACAACTGCATAAAAAGGGCACGCATTCCAACGTGTTTGTACGAGACAAACTATAGAGTGGGGACTGCAAAGGCTTACACAAAGTTAATGTATCGTCCACGTAATCGTCCACTTGCCGCGGTCTAGTACCTGAAACCAGCGGGTGAAAAAATACGTCTGTCACATCAAAAAACCACAAATAAATTACAGGATCTTACGGATTAAAGATAACCGAACTTTTTCATTTACTTTTTTTTTATCAAAAGCAAAAAGAGTGAGATATTACATCTATGAGCAAAAGTTGTCTCGCCACTAGACGAGATAATTTTTGACTGACTAGTAAACAGCTACGATAATTCTTCAGCAGAACTACCAAACACATACAGATTTTTGAACTTAGTCTCATTATAAAGTGACTGGGTGAGACGTAATAATAACGAAGTGCAGCGACGTATTTTCATAAGGGCGTAGGGAGCGATTGCCCAGAGCGGACTGTTCCAGAGGGGTCAATGCCTAAGAATTCAGTATGACTTAACTGACAAAGAGCGACCTACTACTCGACAGATGCTATAATTAAATTCTGATCACGGCATTAGTTCACACAGTTCTTTCCCATAACAAAAGTTAAAAATTATTTTGTCTAGGGATGATACAGTTCTTACTTTCGAAGTACCTGGAAAATAACAAGTCCCTATCTGCAAGGTCATACTGATAAACTTAGCCTCAACTTGTATATCACCGTATTAAATATCCTTATCTTGGACTTTGGAACAGTTTTTGTGTTCATGCATGTTGCAACGCAAGTTAAAAATAAATGAATAAAATAATTTACAAAATGCAAACCTGTATGTATTCGGACGTGGTTGGTCAGATGTTCTTTTCTAGTGAACGATTTCGAACAGAAATGACATCTGTGGGGCGATTCCCCAGTGTGCTGCCTCACGTGATTGTTTAAATGTTCTTTTCTAGTGAAGGATTTAGTGCAGAAGGTACACTTATGCGGCGACTCCCCTGTATGTTGTCGGACGTGATTAACTAAATGGTCCTTCCTCGTGAACGCTTTAGGACAGAAATTGCACCTAAACGGAGTTTCGCCTAAAAAACATAATAAACACATAATTTTAAAACGAATTCTTTTTTTTCGTTATTCCAAAAAATGTAATAAACTCTAAATTACCCGTATGTTGCCTAACGTGATTAATTAAATGCTCCTTCCTAGTAAAGGATTTTGCACAGAATCCACACCGGTGAGGTGATTCCCCTGTATGTTGCCTAACGTGGTTTAATAAATGTTCCTTCCTAGTAAAAGTCTTTGAACAGAAATCACAGCGATGAGGTGTCTCTCCCGTATGCCACATGATGTGATTCGTAAAGTGTTCCTTTCTGGTAAACGATTTCCCACAGATCTCACACCTAAGAAAGATTCAGCATAAGCAAGTGGCCAACGTGTTTACAAGTATTTTACAGGTGTAATTACATTTTGTTCTGAGTAAAGGCAGCTGCCTTTAATCAAAACGAAAGTAACTGCATTGTTGCCATCACTTCAAATATAATAACATAACCTAAACGAATATAAATAACAGCATGGTGACAATTATTTACCACTTTAAAATAAATAAAATAAACTTCGACAATGACTTTAAACCAATTTAATATTTTTCAATTTCAAGTTAAATGTGCTTTCACTGAAATGGCGAGAAGTTGAACCTCAGTCAACTACTCGTTACTATTCCCAGGTTCCTTTTCATTCCCGCTCCCAGAAATATTTTTGAGAACAAATGAATTAATTAAAATAAAAGTAAATATCATTTCCTTAATAAATTATAATTTTAATTAAATACAACATTAATATTTATTTATATATTTTTTTTCTCTAAAAATCACTCGCTTTGACAGTTTCAATATGACAACTGTCGGCTGTAAAAAATTGTTTTCAATGTCAAATTTAGAATCCCCACTCCAAATAACTTTCGGAAATGACTTTCTCGAAAAACAAATTTATTGTCATTTTGATAGCATCAATAAGACAGCTGTCAACTGTCAAGAGGTATTTCTGATATCAGATTCGGAATCGGTGATTTACCAGCAACATTACCAAGATCTCAAGTCGCTTCGTCAATATGACACCGTCTTGGCAGCTGTCAACTGTCAAATTGTTAAAAAACATAAGGACCCTTGGCAGACCCTTTCGGTAAAATTTTAAGCATTTCCGTTAAGTTTAGACATTAAAAAGTAAATTTTAAAAGTTCCTAAATTGGTGCTGTTAAACTAGATTTTTTTGTATAAATTGAAATCTGAAGAGATAAAATATGGCTTCGATGGATTTATTCACCTAGTACTTGTTGAAATTGACGAGAATAATAGACAAATGTAAGTTTACTTTGAAAAATTCATATAATTATCAAAATGAGGTCAGATAATCCGATTTTCTATTTCCTTCCAGAAGAGAAAACAAACTATATCAGAGGCAACTTTGTGACAATAATGATCCATTCCAGTTGCCAGACGTAACATTTTTAAAGTTGTTTCGTCTTAATAAACATTCTTGTCAGCAACTAATCAATAGCTTAACTGTACACTTAAAACAGCCTATAAGAGCAACCAGAATTCCTCCACACGGTCAAGTTTTAATAGTTTGAATTTTTTTGAACAAGGAAGTTATCAGCTCTCAGTTGGTCACGGATACAATTTTTCAGTGAGCCAACCCGCAGTAAAGTTATCTGTCAACGTTAATGAAAGAGAAGAAATAATGAATGGGTTCAGACAGGAACAATAAAAAGTTAAGTTAAATATCAATACTTTGTCGACTTCTTCTTTGTGAAATGGTTTGAGCGCGTTTGAACTACAATTTCGGAATAACTACGAGCACTTTAACGGACACGCTAAAATTTTAACTGTTAACTATGTAGTTCGCTAAAAAGAATTTTACAGAATAGAGGAAAACGTTAAAATCCAGAATTTTAACCATCCGTCAAATTTAACCCAGGCGCTTACACAATAGACCCTATTGATTCTAATTCCAAATTTTTTATTAATTGCATTAGTAGTTTTCGTTCTTTTTAGTGGTTTATATAAAAAATAAAAATAGGGCCCGACATGTAAATAAATAAATAACTTATACAACTTTGGCACTGACAACACTAAATTGTTCAGCAGCTTTAATACTCTGAAGCACTAAACCAAAAAAGGTATATTTCCAGTTTTACCCTAAAAAAGTTTTGGGAATCTGCTGTCACAGCCACAGCCTATGATACAAAAATACACTCACCTAAAAGGCGTATCGTTTGTGTGGCTCCTCATATGGTTAGATAGATGCTCCTTCCTTGTATACTTCTTACCGCATATGGTGCAGTGGTGAGGTGTCTCCCCCGTATGCCACATCACATGGTTCATAAAATGTTCCTTCCTCGTGAAAGACTTCTTACAGATCTCGCACCGATGAGGAGTTTCCCCGGTATGTTTCCTCACATGGTTCACCATGTGCTCCTTCCTCGTAAAAGTCTTAGCGCAATACTGACACCTGTATGGAGTTTCTCCCGTATGACACCTCGTGTGGTTGTCTAAATGTTCCTTCCTAACGAAACTTTTCCCGCAAATGGTACAACCGTAAGGCTTATCAGTCGAATGTCTTTTCATATGGCGTTCTAAGGATGCGGCATTGGCGAACACGTGGAAGCAAACGGCGCACGTAAACATACTACCGCCTAGGTGGCACTTCCCGTGCCTACTAAGTTCCTGGGCGTTTGTGAAAGCTTTACCGCAGACCTGGCAAGTGAACGGTTTCCTCTCGGTATGGTAACGTCTATGCACAATGAGTTGGTAGCGGAACTGAAACATTTTCCCGCAAAGATCACAAACGTGGGAGCCGACGGTGGGGGTATTTTCACTGAGGTTACTCGTAGAAGGTTCTTGTTCGTCTTTAGTTATTATAGCGAGGCCACTTGTATTTTGTAAGGAATTTATGTTGTTCGAATTGTTTTGCACCATATTTTGGTTGCTGTTGGACACCTCCCCTTAAAAAGGAAAATTTTCAGGTTACATCTCTCAACGCTAAAATGAAAATTGAAGACGATGTTTTAAAATAATGGACTGATAATGACTGCTAAATACTAATTGTAACTAAAATGCTCGGCAGATTTTACATAACAAATTAAGGAAATATGTGTCTAGAAGCGTTCCGTTTTCAAGATAAGGCTTTATAAAAAATAATTTTTTAAATTATAAATGGTACAAGTTTAAATTTTTAGTTGTCCACAACAGCAAGTATATGCCTTACTTTTTTTTAAAATACAGGGATGTAATTTTGGGAGTGAATGTAGTAGTTTTCACATGAATTTTTTTTATATTTCAGACTATTCAAACATGTGTTCTTGATATGCTTTCTTGGAGATAAATGGAAAAATCATACTATATATGGGCAATTTTACTGCTATCAAGGCATCAGGTACCTTTTTAAATAATCCAGATATATCAAACATCAATAAAAAAAATTGGTAAAATTTTCCAATGATCATTTTACAATTTTTTTTGTCAGTATCTAACAAAGCACGACAATTTAAAAAATTATAGTGAAATCAAAAAATTTTCACCAAATGGGAAAAAATGTTATTCTTTACACTTTAATTTTTTATTTTTTGTCTAATAATCTATGCTTGTTTTTTGTGCAGTTCTTTTAGGTTCTTCCATTATTATTTAGTTTGAGAGTACCCATTTTCAATATTATACTCGTACATCATATACATGATTTTTCGAAAAACAATTAATAATTTAACTGAAAAAAGTGTAATCTATGAGCAACTTTTATTAAGCAACTGATGCTTTAAATGCTTCCGTTTTCGAGAAAATTAATTAAGAAAATTAACCTTAAATGTAAGCCGATTCTGTGCATCTTGTGCACATGCGTTGTGTGCTGCAGTTTTACTTAACTGACATATTAAACTAACAGTACCTTGTGGCGTTACTATGGGAATTATTATTATACCCCTATCATGTGCAAAGGAATTCAGGGAATAAATAATAACAATGATTTTCAGCTCCGTGTGGAATTTTGCCAGTGGTTTCTACATCAAATAGCACAAGATCCGGATTTTACAAGCAAGGTGCTTTTTACAGATGAATGTTGTTTTACTGGAGACGGCACACTAGATTTTCACAACATTAACTATTGGTGTGACGCAAATCCTCGTGTTGTACAGAGATCTCGGTTCTAGCAACGGTTTTCAGTGAATGTGTGGTGTGGCGTTTTTGGCAACATAATTTTGACCTTCGTTTGAACAACTTTGAACAATATTTGTACAGCATATCGTCTATTGACAAGTAATTAGTTTATTCGCTTAATTTTTGAGTTACTTTTAAACAAGACTCAAATAATTTTCAATATTTTTGAACACAAAATTTAAACCATCAAAACCCCCATCGGCGCTTTTGCACTGAATTAAATTTATTTAACAATAGTCAACACATGTTATTCGCATGCAAATAGATACTGTACAATCAAAATACCACAGTAGCGTATTAAGCGATCCAGTGACAGTATCTTGTAAATAAAAATTGCATGAAAGCTAGAGAAATTCCGTTAGTTCAGGCTTTATGAAATTCCTAATATGTATTTCATGTTATCCAAATCGATATGTACTCCCTGAATAATAAATACTTTAAGAAATTTGTTACTTTAAGGAATAAATGAATAAAAAATATATATTTACATGGTTTTGACAACCTATAACATAGTCGGAGGATCTTTTAAATTTATGTAATTTTATTCTGCTTCTAAGTTAGTTAATAAATTGCATTTAAAAAATAAATGCAAAACATCTGACAATGTATAAAAAATAAAAAATTAAAAAAAATATGCAATAGAACAAATTATTTCTATTTTGAACTATCCTCATTATCTCGCTAGATTTATAAAAAAAAAAAACACTGAAATAAACACTAAAGAAAAACGGTAACAAAACAGTTATATCTTAATACTATTTACAGTAATTGAGATGTGCTTTCAAAACGTTTAAATAATAAAAAAGATACTATATATTTTTTTAATAAATTATGCTCATTAATTACTTATTCATACCTTCCATAGAAGTTGTTCGATATTAGATTATATCGCTAGGTAGCCCTTCATTATATTAAAAAATTTTGAATTACTCTTATATGATACTTAAAGAATTATTGAAAATTAGGCAAAATACACTTACCTTGCCCACCCTGTAGTTTCCCGAAGATCTCGTGATACGCCAACAACTGATTTAGATCATCCACGTTAACCTTATACATATTTTGCACCATCTCCACCCCCAGAGTTTTCACTAATTCCTGTTCCTGCATGTTGGTTTGTATTTTTACTATACTACCATCAGCCGTCCTGACATCCATTAAATTCCCCTTAAGATCCTGTAGTCCAAACTGAGCACCCGTGAGAAGCTTACAATTCTGAAGCGATTTCTCATCTTTAACGATCTGGATTGAATCGGACAGCGGATCCGAATCGTTATTGGACTGGTTCTGGCCGTTCTCAACAGGATTCTCCAGGCGCACCTATCCCAAATACAAACTTTATAAAACAAGAAACAGTCCCACATTAGTTGATTAACGTAACTCGCAAAAAACTTTTAGTTTATCAGGGACTGAAAGCAGCCGCGAGCTAACAAAATATGAAGTACGTTGAGATCATTCTTCACTAACACTACAGTTTATAAGAAAATAACTGTACAGAACAAGGTTAAGAACAAATGTTTCTTATAAAATCAAATTGAGAACAGAAACAGAGGTATCTCTCTGCGAGAACAACTACTCTGCACACTAATGCCCCAGTCTGCATTTAACTATAGGCTAGGATCATTTGTCAGCAGCAGAAGTGGCCAGAGAGTGAGTGGTTCAAAAGAAAGTTGACTTTTGCCTGGGAATCAAATGAATCAAACCCGAAATACGAGAATGGGAGTCCATTCTCGTATTTCTCTTACTCTCTCATAGCCTTGTTTCTCGACTTACTCGAAATTAAGCAATGTTTTGCGATTATTAAATCAGTTTACACGCAAAGACTGTCATGATAATAATTATGTATCAGCTTTTCATAAAACATTATTAATTTATAGAATCATTTTGCCTTGTCCATGATTTTAGATTTACAATTAGATGAAAACTGCTATCGGTTCTCCAAAATTCACTGATTCAGAGTCGTAGTTGACAATTTGAGTCTTGTAGTAGCCAATCCGCCTATTGTATTTAAGGCAAATTATAAAATTGCAGCTACAGATCATGCAGTTGGAAGTTTACTAAAGTAATTTATATGATTTGAATCTCAATTATGAATTATATCGTCTACGACTAGTTAAGCAGGACCGTCAGACATATAACATGACATGAGTGATAATTGAACAAATTGTTCATTTGAACTACTACCCAAAAATAATAACTGGATTACTTTTGAACTCCCGTCTTTATAAATTGCAACTACTATTCGCAATTCCCAAAATGAATTGTAGTTAAATGATAAAAAGAGTTTGTTTATCAGATTGTGTAGGTCGTTTAAAAAATAAGACAGTCAGTCTCATATGTGCACAGTGCGTGTCGTTCATACGAATAAATATAGAATTGTGTAAATTATGTGTGTGTGAAGAAGTCACCTATTTAGATTTTTATATTATTTCAAATGATTATATTAGATCCATGTTAGAACTTAAGAAATATCGTTCGAAGTAATGAATTATAAGAATCGATACATCAAAAGTAATCAAGTTGCCCACCTCTAATGGACCAGTTTTGGAACTTGTTATTAATTAGTTCCCACACGCATGAAATAAGTGAGATAACCAATGAATGATTCAGCTATTTTCATGGATAAGATATAACAAAGTGGTACATCTACAATGCATAGGCCTTCTATACAGCTAAACTGGCAGAAAGTGACCTGCTATTTCACACGTACTATGAAAGCAAGACCAATAGGAATATTCTTGTCCAGAATAATGTCAATAATAAATCATTTTTCTATGTGTTCTGTCTCAGACAACAAGAATGAAGCAGCTAAGCAACTAAGAAGGAATTCGACTTCTGTAATTGTCACCAAATAAATTCAGGTTTTAAGATATAAGAATCATAATGAAATTTTGCTGTATATTTTGTTCTCAACAAGGACAGATCTTTTTATTGAAAAACTCTTGTAACAAAAGCCAGATGCGTGTAATTTATGGGGCGGTTTTCAGAAAGATTGGGGCTCAATAGTTCTTTTAGGCCTTCTAAGAAACAACCACTGTGAGACAAGAGTCAAGTAGTATAGGTGCCATGTATATATGTATTTAGAGGGTGGTCTTAAAATCTTTTGTCGCGGGTAACTAATAAATTTACAAAAGGGTAATTAGAACAAGACCATGAAATCCCAAAACACTTTCAGCAAAATAACTTCTAGTAAACGTATTGCCATGTGACGGTCTTCTGTTACGACCAGGAGGCACCAGCCTTGTCTAGGACGGAAGAAAGAAACCCATATTCGTAATAACGCGCAAAACATGAGAAAGGCGTAGATATTCCAAATTAGAATTAAAATGAAGTTGTTAAATTGATAAGTGGAAAAGAAAGACATACGAAAAGCTGGTTTTTCCGACGTGTTCCTTTCCCAGCTATAAAACAATAAAATTATAAGATTGAACAGTCCGTCTCGTATTGCTTGCGGTACGAGGTCACTAGAGGAAGTTGTACGATTACTTGTAAGTTCAATAAGTCACATAATTATTCAATCAAATGTAAGTCCAGTCAATTAGATAACTATTAACATGATATAATTAAGCCATTTCAACTCCTGATATTCAGGGATCCCGCCAATAAGATAAGATTCTATATCCAAGAAATGGGTGTGTCGAAGCGAGTAGAGATCTTTGAAAAAGCAGTTTCTCCATTTATTTAAGAAAACTGTCCAGTGTGGAATCCAAATTCCACACTGGACAGTTTTCGTAATTTTATAGTCTCGGGTTAATTTAATAACGGATAGTCTTTCCAAATTTTGCTATGAATTCGCGTTGGGTTCCCTGAATCTCGGGTTGCATTGTCGCGTAAATTAATCAATGTTTGTACGAATCCGCTGTGTCTTTGTTATTTTGTTTGTGTTTTTTATTGTTATTAAAAACCCTTCCTGGGTGTTTTGGTGTTTTCTTGTTCTTCCAACTTAAGTGTCACCCTATACAACCAACCCCTGGATTACATTCTACGTAAGCAATGGACGGTAAGTGCCTGAAATTCATTCTCTGAACGAACATTTCTAAGTTCTCACGTATTAATTAAAGTGTAGATGATAATTATAAACTCCCTTTCGAGAAGCTCATAGTAAACTCTTTTGAAATCTAATATCGTTATGATACTGGTCATAATGGTAGAGAGATAAATAAAGAAATAACCCTTAGGTTACACTCTTTTCTCAACACATTCGTTCTTTAAATTGTTCAATTCGTCACCATGTTCTTAGGAAAGAATGTAAAAAGAACAGGCTTTTGGTTTTCGTCAACAAAGTTCTCGGTCCCTGTAATTAACGTGACTATAAATAAAAACTTACCACATTGTCCAAGACCTGCTGAACCTGCAAGTGCTGCAGCTGTTGAACAGTCAATGCCTGCTGATTGAGTTGGTTTTCGTTCAGTTGTAGCTGGGCGGCCTGCAATTGTGCTGCAATTAGATCTTTTTGGTCTTTATTATCTTCGATAACTGATACCATATTGTCTTGTACTTGAACTTGTACCATGCTTTGCTGCCCGCCGTGCTGTTGCTGGTTTTGTTGTGAATGGGACATCTGAATAAACATGGATAATGTATAACTCGAGTAAATTCGTGTCATTAACAATTCTCTAACTTAAAACAAACTGCATTACCCTCATTTCTCTGGACATTTGGTTTTGATTCTGCGACGAGATGTTCTCGTTCTGGTGCTGGTGGTTGGCTAAGTTCTGCGAGTTATCTAAGTGTATGGCACCCGCTGCTATACCTAGATTTCCTTGGGAGGTCGATATACTAACTGGTATTTGAGGATGTTGCTGTAGGAGCAGAGGATCTGTCGGGAGAAGTCCTGCGTGTTGGCTAAGCATGGCATCCTAGAAAATTAATGCCACAATTTCTTTTTTATACAGGATAGTAAGATTTTATTTTAAATAACTTTAAGAATAAATTATTTAAAAAATTTATTCATAAGTACTGAGATTCTATTTTTCCATAGAGATATCGATATCTTAGGAGATACCAGATCGAAGTAGGGCGCAATGGCAAAGAAAAATTTGACCTTTCTTTTTTTTTCAGTTATCAACAAAAAGCTCCAGATTTTCATTTTGGTTTGCACATTTTGAAAGATATGCACTTTTTATCTCAAACATTTACTATAACATTTTTTGTACGGACACTTAAAATTTTGTATTTGTATTACGCATTGCATATATCAGAACATCCCATTTCTGAATTCACCTAATTTTTCTGACTTGGATAACGTATGTACAATATAATATGCTTTTTCATTTTTGCTGAAATATCAAATTCACTTTTTAGAAATAGAATATCCAATTATTATTCAAATTTGAAATTTGACAGCAACAAAAACTTCAAATAAATTAATACCATCGGATATACAGGGTGTCCCTGAAAAGAATGGACAATGCTTGACCGCAGGTTCCTTGGATGAAAATAAGACTATTTAGCCTAACTTACCTATATATAAAAGTGCACACCTACTGAGATATAGCCTTCTAAATATAGAATAGATAACCCATTTTTTTCAAATAATTTGAAAACTATTTTTCTTAGAAACTTCAAATTTGGTACACTGATTTTTTTATATAAGGGCAAGGTAAATATAGAATTTGGAGAAAATACATATACAGGATGTTCTATTTCTAATGCCTTTGCGCCACTGGCTATCCCGTAACTTTTTTGTATGTATGCCAATGACGACAGAATTTATATTTTTAAAAGTAAGCACTATTTTAGAATTTTTTTTTTTGCTCTTATCAAATTTCTATATTGTTTATGGATTTCGAGTAAAATTAGCATTTTTTATATATTATTAAATAGAGGCAAAAAGTCCGATTTATAAAAAATAATTTGCAGCCTCAAAGCAGGGAATAATAATGAAAAAACGTCACATTAAAAAAAAATAACTACACATTTTTGGTATTAGTATTATCAATCAATAAAATAAAAACTAACACTAATATTTTAAATAAACAATATCAACTAATAATGTAAGAAAGTCAACATTAACAAACTGACATTTGTAATCGCATTAAAATAATATTACAGTAAATGCTCAAAGTTACTTTCTTGTTCTTAAACACCAGTGTTAGTTCTTTGAAAATTAGAAATTATCCAATAATTGTGCATTACCTCTCATAACATTAATTTCATGTCGTATTCTTTCCCATATTCGTTTTCTGTAAGTATTTACTGAAAAGTTATTTTAAACTGTGGTCCTCAACGCTCCCCAAATGAAATAATTACATGGGTTTAGGTCCGGGGATCGAGGTGGCCATTTTAAAGGGGCATTATTTCCT